ATGTGATGACTTGAGCAGAGCAAACTTCAGACGGCCTGGACATGTGATGACTGGAGCAAGGGGAACCTTCAGACGGGCTTGGGACATGTGATGACTGGAGAGGAGGGACCTTCAGGCGGGCCTGGACAATGTGATACAATGGAGCAGGGGAACCTTCCGTGCAATGCATGATTGGAAACCATGACGGCGTAGTGTTCTACCAGTGAAACCTTTGAAAAACTGTGGTCACAGCTCTCTCCATGTCACTTGAGCAGCTCCTCCCTTGTAGTTCTGGGCTGATTCCCCCCACCTTTCTTATCATCAGTGATACCCCACGAGGGCTGACATCTTGCATGGAGCCCCAGTCCGAGGGAGACTGACAGTCGTCTTTAGCTCTTCCATTTTCTAACAATTGCTCCAACAGTTGATCTATTTTCACCAAGCTGCTTGGCAATTGCCCCGTAGCCCTTTCCAGCCTTGTGGAGGTCCACAATTTTGTCTCTGGTGTCTTTTGGCAGCTCTTTGGTCTTGCCCATGGTAGTAGTTGGCGTCTGACTGACTGCTGGGTGGACAGGTGTCTTTAAAGAGCTCAGACAGGTGCTACTAAGTTAGATGAATGAGTGGAGTAGAGGTGGACTTTTTAAAGGCGCAGTAACAGGTCTTTGAGAGCCAGAATTCTTGCTGTTTCTTAGGTGTTCAAATACTTACGTTCAGCAGTGCGAGACAAATACATTCTTTACAAATCATACAATGTGATTTCCCTGAATTTAAATTTTTTAAAATCTGTCCTCGGGAGTGGGAATCCCCTACAATGTGAATTTCAGACCCCTCCATGATTTCTAAGTGGGAGGAGAACTTGCAAAATCGCAAGGGGTTCAAATACTTCTGTTCCTCACTGTATATACACTGCATGTTGAAATGCGTTTTTATTACAAAATATCTGAAAAATATTTTTAAAAATACATTTCAAATATACTGTATGTCTTTAAAAATACAAATCTACATTTTTGGAATGCATGTACAAATATATGTAAAAATGACTTTTTTTCATATGTAAAATCCCCTACCAACCAGCAATAATTCCTGGCTCCCACAGAATGTGCTCATGTAGTACACAGGTAAGTCCTGCCAATGTAAGAAGGTGCTCCTAATGACCACGCTCGTTAATGTGTATATAAGACACCTGTCCACAGAATCTCTTTCTTCCATTCAAACATTCCACACCATCATTGGCAAGACCAAAGAGCTGTCAAAGGATATCACGAACAAGATTGTAGACCTGCACAAGGCTGGAATGGGCTACAAGACCATCAGTAAGAAACTGGGTGAGAAGTAGACAACAGTTGGAGCGATTATTTGCAAATGGAAGAGAAATACAAAATAACCATCAATCGCCCTCGGTCCCCTTTGCAAGATTTCACCTCATGGGGGTAAGGATGATCATAAGAAAAGTGAGGGATCAGCCCAGAACTACACTGGAGGATCTGTGAATGATCTCAAGGCAGTTGGGACCACAGTCACCAAATAAACCATTGGTAACACAATATACCGCCATGGATTGAAATCCCCCTTCTTAGGAAGGCACATGTACAGGCCCATCTGAAGCATGCCAATGAACATCTAAATGATTCAGAGAAGGATTGGGAGGAGGTGCTGTGGTCAGATGAGACCAAAATTGAGCTCTCTTGGCATTAACTCGACTCGCTGCGTTTGGAGGAATAAAAAAAGCTGACTATGATCTTAAGAACACCGTCCCTACAGTCAAGCATGGAGGCTGAAACATTATGCTTTGGGGCTGTTTCTCATGCTAAAGGTACAGGCTGACTTTGCCGCATTGAGGGGCCAATGGACGGGCCATTTTTTGTCAAATCTGGGATGAGAACTTTCTTCTGAAGATGGGTCGTGGATGGGTCTTCTAGCATGACAACAACCCAAAACATACCGCCAAGACAACAAATGAGTGGCTCAAGAAGAAGCAGACGAAGATCATGGAGTGGCCTAGCTAGTCACCAGACCTTAATCCTATAGAAAATTTATGGAGGGAGTTGCCAAGCGACAGCCAAGAAACTTTAAGGATTTAGAGATGATCTGTAAAGAAGAGTGGACTAAAATCCCTCCTGAGATGTGTGCAAACCTGGCAACCAACTACAAGAAATGTTCTATCTCGCCAACAAGGGTTTCTCTCCACCAAGTACTAAGTCATGTTTTGGGGATCAAATACTTACTGAACTGCAACTCAGTTTATGAGTAAAAAAATACATTTGTATTGTGTGTTTTTTATGGATTTTTGGTTGATATTCTGTTTCTATCATTTAAAATACACCTATGATAACAATTATAGACCCTTCATTTCTTTGTACGTGGGCGAACTTACACAATCTGCAGGGGATCAAATCAATATTTTTGCCAGTTTTCTATATATTGGATAGTAAGAAGTAGGAACATCCAGTGACCCATCACACTTTAAATATTCCCAAACAGGAGCATGAATACATTGTACAGCCCTCATTAGTATCCCAGTGAGGGGATGACATACAATGCAACCAGAAAGTATTCCCAGCGCTTACCTTTTGCCACAATTTTTCATGTTACGGCCTTATTCCAAAATGGGTTCAATTCATTTTTTTCCTCCACATTCTACAAACAATACCCCATAATGACAATGAGAAAGAAGTTCGCTTTGAAATCTTTGCAATTTATTGAAAATAAAAAATGAACCCCCCACATGAACATAAAGTATTCCCAGCCTTTGCTCAATCCTTTGTTGAAGCACCTTTAGCACCAATTCCAGCCTCGAGTCGTTCGGAGTACGATGCTACAAGCTTGGACAAGCCTATTTTTGGGTGATTTCTCCCATTCTTCTTTGCAGGACCTCAGAAGCTCCATCAGGTTGGTATGGGGAGCGTCGGTGCACAGCCATTTTCAGATCTCTCCAGAAATGTTCAATCAGGTTCAAGTCTGGGCTCTGGCTGGGCCACTCCAGGACAATTCACAGAGTTGGCCTGTAGCCACTCCTTTATTATGTGGGCTGTGTGCTGAGGTCGTTGTCCTGTTGAAAGATGAACCGTCGTCCCAGTCTAAGGTCCAGAGCGCTCTGGAACAGGTTTTTCATCAAGGATGTCTCTGTACATTGCTGCATTCATCTTTCCTTCCATCTGACTAGTCCCCAGTTCCTGCCGCTGAAAAACATCCCCACAGCATGAGGCTGCCACCACCATGCTTCACTGTAGGGATGGTATTGGCAAAGTGGTGAGTGGTGCCTGGTTTCCTCCTCCAGACATGACACTTGGCATTCAGGCCAAAGAGTTCAAGTCTTTGTTTCATCAGACTAGAGAGTTTTGTTTCTCATGGTCTGACAGTCCCTCAGGTGCCTTTTGGCAAACTCCAGGGGGCTTGCCATTTGTCTTTTCCTGAGGAGTGGCTTCTGGTCTGTCCACTATACCATACAGTCTGATTGGTGGAGTGCTGCTGAGATGGTTTTCTTCTGGAAGGTTCTCCCTCTCTCCACAGAGAAACACTGGAGCTCTTTCAGAGTGACCATCGGGTGGCTTGGTTACCTCCCTGGCTAAGGCCCGTCTCCCATGATCGCTCATTTTGGCCGGGTGGCCTGCTCTAGGAAGATTCCTGGTGGTTTCAACTTCTTTCTGTTTATGGATGATGGAGGCCACTGTGCTCATTGGGACCTTCAATGGCTGCAGAAATGTTTCTGTACCCTTCCCCAAATCTGTGCCTTGATTACAATCTTGTCTCGGATGTCTACTGACAATTCCTTGGACTTCATGTCTTGGTTTGTGCTCTAACATGCACTGTTACCTGTGGGACCTTTCTATAGACAGGTTTATGCCTTTCCTAATCATGTCCAATCAACTGAATGTCCCACAGGTGGACTCCAATCAACTGAATGTCCCACAGGTGGGAACTCACAATCAACTGAATGTCCCACAGGTGGACTCCAATCCACTGAATGTCCCACAGGTGGACTCCAACCAACTGGAATGTCCAACAGGTGGACTCCAATCAACTGAATGTTCCCACAGGTGGACTCCAATCCACTGAATGTCCCACAGGTGGAACATCCAACCAACTGAATGTCCAACAGGTGGACTCCAATCCACTGAATGTCCCACAGGTGGACTCCAATCAACTGAATGTCCCACAGGTGGACTCCAATCCACTGAATGTCCCACAGGTGGACTCCAATCCACTGAATGTCCCACAGGTGGACTCCAATCAAGTTGTGAAAAACATCTCCAGGATCATCAGTGGGAACAGGATGCACCAGAGCTCAATTTTTCAGTGTCATGGCGAAGGCTGGGAATACTTATGTACAACTGGTTAGTTTTGAAATCTCTGCAATTTATTAAAAATAAAAAAACAAAAAAAAAATAACTTCTTTCACGTTGTCATTATTGTTTGTAGAATGTTGAGGGGAAAAAAAATGAATTTAAATTCAATTTTGGAAGAAGGCCGTAACATGACAAAATGTGGCAGAAGTGAACTGCTGGGAATACTTTCTGGATGCTCTCTAGTTGAATGAATTTATAGTATGGCCCTGTGTACGGGGTACACTTCCTCTGTCTCCTAGTGGGTTACCCAATAATACCTGCAATAGGCAGGTTCACACCTGATGACCTCATCACAAAGCGCAGAGGGCACAGCAGCCATATTTGAAAAGGGCAAATAACCACATAGCATCACAGGTCAGTATAGGCAGAAGAAGTGAGTAATTATCACATCATTACAGTTCTATTACTTTGGTCGTCTATATCCACTTAAAGCCCTGGAAGGTTTTACCCCCTTTATGACCAGGCCATTTTTTTTGCTATTCAACACTGCGCTACTTTAACTGGTAATTGCTCGGTCATATGCACCGCTGTAATACAAATGAAATAATTTTTTTTCACACAAATAGAGCTTTCTATTGGTGGCATTTGATCACCACTGTTTTTTTTTTTATATTTTAATGTATAAATCAAAAAATAATTTATTTTTTTTACTTTCTGATATAAAAACTTATAAAAATATAAAAGTAGTAGAATGTGTATATCGATTGGTTTAACACCCCCATACAACTCCCCACCCCCCAACAAACAACACCCCCCCCCCCCCCCAACCACCCAACCCCCCCCCCCCCCCCCCCAACCCCCCAACACAAAAATCCCCCAACCCCTCACCCCATGTAATACTATAATCAAACAATACCCCAATACTAACACCACACCATCCCCTCACCAATGGAATTACAACCACCAATAAACCCATCAAATTTCACCCCCAAAGACAGGAAAAGGAAATACAGATCAGGATTACACAAAGATTTTCATAATCCCACCAAACAACCACCATCGCTAAAAACATTTCACCCAACCCCACCCAACACCACCACCCACCCACCCTGGGGGGGTGTCCTAAACAAACCCCCACCCACTTAACACCAACATATATTGTATCATTCAAACCCATGTCCCCACCGCCCCCACCCCCCAACCCACATAAACCGTACAAACTAAGGTCAACCAACTCACATTCATAAATACACATACTAGGGGACAATTAACACTCACCCCCCCACTCCACCCACACATCTTTGGAGTGTGGGGGAGTGACAACCAACCCGATTAACCAAGGGGAAACACCACCATGTAAACCGCCCTTGCGGGTAGGATACTAGCACTCCACTGAAAAGGCGTCCCCAGCCAACTACCTCTAAGTCCCAGCCATTATCCCTTGTTCACCCCCCATCCCCTGATCCCCCCATACCCCCAAACCAATTGGACCTCCATGAGACCATCACTCCCACTACCCCAACCTCCTCAAACATAAATCCCCATGCCAAATATATGACAGGGGCTCCCACTAAGATATTTCTGATGTGAGTAGAAGGTCACCAAGACCCCAATATGCGGGAAAAATGGATACTTATTCATACATTCCTTCCGGGTCCCCTAACAGAGAGGGCGACAAGGTACAACCCCCCCATAGAAAATGGTTTCACCCCGCCAGGTCAGCAACAGCAACCTCAATCTAATCCAATAGGGGGCATTCAGAGAGGTCACAAAGCAAGGGTCAGAACAGGCCTCAACCCACCCCACAGCAAACCCCCAAACCCAAAACAATAACAACCCAGGGTAACAACCACCCCCCATTCAGAATGCAAAAAAACCACACAAGAAGGCCGCCCACCAAACACAACACCCCAATGACATTCAGGGTCAACAACCAACCCCCACCGACCCCCATCCCTGCCATCCCACACCCAGCGGCGCCACCACAAACCAATACCACCCCCACCAATTGCCGCAACTCGAACACGCCGCGGGTAAAAAACCACCCCGGAACCCCACCTACCACGAAGTCCCTGCGCCCCGGCCCCTCCCCAATTTTCAAGCCTGCGCGGGACCAACCATCAACCCCCACCATACGGGATCCCAAAACACCGAACATTGCCCATAAAACCCCACCTAACACCCATATTATGATAACACCGGACCCCCAATCCGATAATAATCCACAAGGGTGATACTTACCAAAAACCTATCACAAGAAACACAACCCCCTCCATGGACATTATGGGCTGTGTTCCCAAGAATTGTCCTTCATGGACCATAGCCCTTCCATTGATAAGGAATTGGGTCTGGCCTCCCCTCCTTCGACACTTCAGGATTTGTTTCAAAATCTCAAATTCCTCTTCTCCCAATCGACCGTCACCCTTCCGGGGGCTAGATTCCCCCCCCCCAGGGAAGGCATCTGGGACCACAGGCTTCAGAAGGGACCACAACCCCCAAAGACCAATCTTGAGCGTGTCAGGGAGGGCGAGTTCATAGGCTACCCATCCAACCATCCGTTTAATGCAGAAGGGGCCCTATAAATTTGGGTCCAACAGCCCAATTTCTTCGATGGGCACCCACCACCCACCACACCACCCCACCTACCCCCCCCCCCCCCCCCCCCCCCCCCCACCCCCAACCAGACCCAGAGGAGACTAGATTTTCCCCCTCAGTTCCTTTCGGTTTTGACCGCGAGGGGGTAGTTTCGAGGGTGGAACGCCATGAAGAGAGACTGATAATTTGATGTCCAGGGCTCTTTGCACAGTGCTCTCCAGAATCTGGACGTGAACTGGACCCCTCGGTCCGATGACAATGTCTTTCGGAGGACCCCATGCAACCTGACTACCTCACGAATGAAGACTCGCGCGGTCTCGGCCCGCCGCCCGAGGGGGTCTTCTTCTTCAACGGGATGAAGTGGGCCATCTTGGACAAGCGGTCCTCACGATCTACCAGGATTGCCGTTGTGGGTCTCGGGGATGGCGGAAGCTCGACTATAAAGTCTAGTGAGATCTTTTTGCCAAGGCCGTTCAGGAATAGGTAAGGGTCGCAGCAGACCCCAAACCTTGTTTCTTGAGGGCTTGTTCTTCTGGCAGGTGACACAGGACCTGACATAGCCCTTACAATCTTTAGCCATGTCTGGCCACCAGAATGAGCGATCGAGAAGAAGTAGATCGTTTCCAGGGTCTTTTCTGTCGGGCCAAAGTGCCCCGCCATTTGGGTGGTCGTGGCAATGCCCCAAAGACCAGGGTTCGAGCTTCCTTACCGGCACCACAATTCGAGTCTTCCCTCCATAGGAGTCCCCCCTTGTTCTGGAGACGTGTGGGCCCTCCGCCTGGGGTAGAGAAGTTTGTGGATGCCTCCATTAGCCTGGAACGGTGCCTGACAAACGAAGGTCCGACTGAAGGACCAAGAAGTTACCCCCGCAGAGGAGGGATGGTGTCAGGTACTGGGGTCTCCTTGGCGTCTTCGTACATCCGTGATAACGCATCCGGCATAGTTTATTGAATGTTCTGTTGATCTTCCCGGACGGTACGTAATATGGAAGTTGAATCTTGAAAAGAATAGCGTGCCCATCTCGCCTGTCGCGGGCGTAGACGCTTGGCAGTTCTCAGATACTCTAAGTTCTTATGGTCAGTAAATATTAAGATGGGGTGCACCGCACCTTCCAGCAGGTACCTCCATTCCTCTAACGCCGTTTTGATCGCTAGTAGCTCACGGTCACCGATATCATAGTTCCTCTCCGCTGGGGGTCAGTTCAGTCCTGTGAGAAGAACGCTACCGGGTGGAGCAGTTCCTTGGTGCCTTTTCGTTGGGAGAGGATGGAGCCTACCGCATTCTTCTCGATGCATCTACCTCCAAGATGTAGGGCAGAGCGGCGTCTGGGTGACCCAAAATGGGTGCCGAAGTGAACAGCTTCTTTAAGGGCATCGAAAAGCTCCCTGCGCTTCTGGTGTCCATCTGAATCGGTGTCCCCAGCTTGGTTAGCTGAGTAATGGGGGGAGACCAGACCCGAGAAGTTTCTTGATGAACTTCCGGTAAAAATTTGCAAAGCCGATGAATCGCTGGACGCCTTTCCTGTCTGTGGGTTCAGGCCAATCCAGTATTGCAGAGCGACTTCTTCTGGGGATCCATCGCGACCCCCGCGGTGGAGAGATAATCAGGCCCCAAGAAGGCAATGCTGGAATGTGGATCAAAAACAACATTTTTCTGCCTTGGCGTACAACCCATGCTGCCAGCAGCCGCCCCAATACTTTTGCTACATGTATTCTGTGTTCCCCCAGAGACGGGGAAAAAAAAATCAGAATGTCGTCTAAATAAACGATCACAAAGACATCCAGAAAATCTCTAAAAATATCATTTACAAAATGTTGAAACGTGGGCCGGAGCATTACACAAACCCGAAACGGCATGACCAGATATTCAAAAATGACCGAAAGCGGGTGCGGAAGGCCGTCTTCCACTCGTCCCCCCTCCCTTATGCGAATCAAGTTGTACGCCCTCACCCCCCTCAGATCCAGCTTGGTAAAAAAATACTGTGACTTTAAACTTTGGAACAGTTCAGTTACTAACGGTAGTGGGTAAACGGTTTTTTTATCTCGTGACCCTGTTCAATTCCCTGTAATCGATACCATGGCCTTAAGGTTTTGTCCTCCTCTTTTCAACAAAGAAGATTCCCGCCCCCGCCGGTGAAGTGGAGTGGCGGATGAAACCCCCTTCTGGAGGCTGTCCTCGATATATATTCCTTTAGGGCCCCCAATTCGGGCTCTGAAAGGGGGGAAGATTATCGCCCAAAAGGAATTTCTGAGCCGGGTAACGTAAACAGGTCAATGGGGCAGTCATAAGGGCTGGTGGGGGGGTAGAGTATCAGCTCCCCGTTTGCTGAACACATCTAGAAACCCATGGTAGGCC